TCTTCCCAAGTAACCATTATGCGTGATGAGGCCCTGCTCTCCTGGAGGTGGCTGAACACCTGCCTGCCCATAGGAAGCAGTATATTAATTCCTTGTTTTGCTTTGTTTGCATGTGCAGCTTTTACTTTCCCTATTAAATCTCTTTATCTCAACCCAGGAGTATTCTGGCTTTAACCATATGATTCTCTATGTTATCCTGCTGGTGGGGGAGTGAGCGAGCAGCTGTGTGGGGCTTGGCTGCTGGCTGGGGTGAAATGAAACCTCTACATGGCCCAAGAAAAATGGAGTGAATAGCTTAACAGCAAAGGGTAGTTTGGTGTTGGAACTGCGTTACAATGTGAAGTTGCTTGGGTCAGAGCACATACCAGAATGTAAGACTCCAATGACTTAAAATAAATTTATCTTAAAATAATCAAAACTGGATATCCAGATATCTACTCTATTTCTTTGGGGTTTCTTCCATACGATTAGTAAGGCCCTAAGATCCTGGATGCATTGAATTAATCATCTAGTCCTACAGAGACAGATTTCTTCATTCTGCTTTGTCTCTGGGAAGTGATTCCTCATTCCTTCTCCAAAAAGTCTCACACAGGTGTCTTCCACAAATTTCTGGAAGGTCTCCAATTTTAGACTATTTCAGATCAAGAGGGGAAAAAAAAGTACCATAGAGTTTGCAGTCTCTTTCACTGTTTTTTTCAGCTATCTCTTCTCTTCTGTGTAAGGGAGAGCACTTCAGGGCCCCTGCTGACTGCAGGTGTGATGATGTACAAGGGGGAGATTGGTGTTACGTGCCCCTGAGAGCTCCTGGGAACTAACTGTAATTTGTGTGACATAAATGGCTTTGCAGCAGCTTTTATGAAGAACAGACTCCCACAAAACCAGTAAGAGATCAACTGTGCCCTGAATAAGCTTCAGTCCCTGAATGGTCTTAAGGAGCAATCTCAAGTAGAGCATATTGCAATTTAGTTCTGCAGAAGGAATGAGGTTCTGAATTTTTCTTTTCTGAGTTATTTGCAGCGAGGATCAGATGAGGCTATGCTATCTGAAATGTACTTTCATGCTCTAGGATATTAATTGAGAGAATGTATCATCGAGGCTTCAGACAATTACCTTTATGAGATGTGCCTTGGAAAGGATGGAGTCTTAAAAAATACATAATTGTTTCGCCTGTATGTGGTCCCAGTAGTTACATAAAAATAAGTTAATTTTCCTGCAGTAAACAGCTTTTCCCAGTTGTGCTAACATCAAAAAATAAAAAAAAAAAAAATGGAGGGGAAAAAAAAAGGAACAAAAGAAACAAAAAACAACACAAAACCATGAGAAAGTAAAGATTTAGATTATATTCTGACTTCTTGTGCAGCTTCATAATCCTTTGGCCAAGAGGCAAAAATCCTTATGAATGCTAAATGAATCCCAAGTTGGTGGAGAGCCTCATAAAGCCAAGGGAACTACCAGAAGTTAAAATACAGTGAGATTACCATCTTATTCAACATAAGAAAGTCTGGATGTAAGGTACAAAGAGGCAGTAAAATTACTTGTAGTAGGGATGGTTTTATTTATCTCCTTGCTTAGCTATTTTTCTCTCAGTTAAAGAAACCCCAGATTTATAGTTAAAATTATAATTAATAGTTTAATGGTCTGTCACAGAATGGGTTTTGTGTCCTTGTGGTTCCTACTGAGCCTGAAGAGATGAACAACTCTTTCAGCATCACTAGGTTATTTTGCTGAAGAAATTTTACACCATAAGTCTCTTTAAAATCCTTTTGTACATAATTTTGTTCCCAGGGACAGTAATAAATATTTCCTCAAAAAATGTCCAATTAATGTGACATTCAAGTGATACAGATATGAGCCTTTTCCTGCTAAGATAAAGCAAATATTTGTTTAACTGGATGTAAGAGCAGGGCCAGCCTTCTTTAGTCTTGAATGTCAAATCACAATTCTAATTACTGCCCAGAGGACCTTTTTTAAGTCTTATTATTAAAAGGATCATCTCAATGTGACTACAAGGGCAAAATGAAGCATTTGTCCTTGTTCAAAAGAACTGAATTTGGTTTGTGGCAGTATTTTCTTTTACAATGTTTCCTAAGATTAGCATGGAATGAAGTAATTTTTAAAATATTTTCTCTTCAAAAACAAACAAGATTAATAAAAGTCTCACTTTTATAGTTATACTACTTTCATAACAATTGTGCTGGTTGTTATTAATGCAAAGTTCAGCTTTTAGAAAAACACTGTGACCATATTTTCCTGTCTGCAGTTACATTCTTTCTGAGGAAATCAGGATTTTGACAAACCGCATCAGAATCAATAACACTACTTTTACCATGGATAAACTTTATTAAGTGTTGTGGTTTTTTGTTTGGTTTTGGGTTTGTTTTTTTTTTTTTTTTTTTTGGTGGCGGTGGGTTTTTTTGTTTGTTGTTTTGGTTTTTTATTTTTGTTTTTAAAACTGAGATGAAGTTGAATGAGGGGGCCAGGAGATCACGGTAAGCTTTGCAGTAGAGCAGATGTTTCTAGTATGTCTGAGCCTTAAGAGGTTTAAAAATAGGTGCTGTGGTAAGACTCATTGGCATGTGTATAGCTTCATGGCCTAGTTTGATGACACAGATTGTCTTAATGGCACAGCATGATGCATTATGAGTGAGCACAGTCAAAGCTATCTTTATCAAATGTTAAGAAAGAAAATGCTTTTGCATTAAAAAAAATTTTGAGAGGGGTAGTTTTGAGAGTACCCGTTCCCATACTCACTTATGAGCTGTTACTTACTCAGGTTCAAAAATTTACAATAGGCTTCCTGGTCACATGTGGGATCAGTAATGTTCAATGGTACTGTTACAAACTCATTGTCCATGGCAGATCCTTGAGAAAGGTCTGGCTCTGACACATTCCTTTGTCACTAGCAGAATGTGGGTAGCTAGCATTAGTGTGGATCTGTTTTTATTTATTTATTTTTATTTATTTTTATTTATCTTTTTCTCTTTTGTTTATCTTCCTTCCTAAAACTGAATATTAACAATAACAACAGCTCTAACTACCTCCAACACAAAGGCAACTTTCAAGCAATATACGATAAAGATAGATATTATTGGATCAAAACCAAGCAACTTCAAGAGTCTTCATTACATATTGCATGTAAAAGGCTCTAGTTAAAAAAAAAAAAAAAAAAAAAAAAAAAAGAGAGGCTTGCATTTAACTGTATATAAAAGAACACTATGAAAGAAAAAGAAACCTGACCTCAGAGATTATAAACCACATATCATGGTCAAAAATGGTTCAAAAATTTACCTAATCATCTTTTAAATTGTGAGGATTATGGTTTTATACCATTATTGCAGTCATGTGAGAGAAAAAAGAAGACAATTGTCTAGGACCAGAGTCCTGACACCACGCTAAGACTGTTCCAGACTGTACTAATAAATTTTCTGGCCAGGACTTTTTAATGCAAATAGTATAGTTGTAATTTTGCTTTCATCAAAATCAAAGGCTATATTCCTGCACCCCTCAGTATTTAAGAAAGAATCCTTCAGGAGACTATGAAATTTAATAGTGTTTATCTTGAATGCTGCAGAGAGGTATTGGGACTACTGTGAGAATCTATTGATATTTTTCCTTTTCAAAAGTGCAGCAATATCTGACAGTCCCCTAGGAATTACAGAAGAGGTTTTTAATTTGTTAATAATCATTAGATAGGGAACTTTTCTGTGCTACACAGCCTATACTTCTCAAAAGGAGAGCTGGAGCCTATCTCAACATGATTGGGAGGGAACACTTTTCTTCCTGACTGTGCCCATCTTCTTGGATCTCACACATCTTCAGATCAGTGGATTTTTTTCCCTTTTCTCAAGTGTTCTCGCTGCTGAGAAGGAAATATTTTGTCATGAGAGCTTCCAGGCTCCAGGAACAGGTCTGTGCACCTGGAAAAGGCTGCAATCAGCAGCCAACACAGAAGCAATGTGTTTTTTGTCTCCCACTGTGTCCCTGCCGGCTCTCCAGTCCCCATACAGCCCTACCCAGGGCTGGCTCTGTCCCACCAGGCATCTGTCTGGGATGCAGTTCCCCTGCCTGCCAGACCCCAGGCAGGGACTCTGTTTCCTCTCCACTAAAATAAGAGGGACAAAAGTGAATTTTAATCTTTGACATTTGCAAAAAAACCTGAACTTTGTCAATTTTGTAGAACTAAAAAAAACCAATTTAGCTTTCTCATGAGAGTCTTCCTAAGAGCTCATCACACAGAAAGAACAGCTGAGAGGTTTTCTTTTCATTTTTGTTGTGTTTTGGTTTTTTTTTTTTTTTTTTTTTTTTTTTTTTACCTTACAATCGATATGTGGCTCTGCAGTTGGTGTTTCCTGATTGTATTTAGTTGATGCTATCAAAGCAAAACTTCTATCTTACTGTTTATTTAGATTTTTAGTTACAGAAGGGGTAGACTTTAGCTGGCCTAAGGACTTGATTAAATGTGCTACATGAAAATCCTATTTAATGTGCTGTATTCTCTAGGAAGTATACATATCTGTACCTGTGCATATATCTGTCCACATATGAGAATAATAAAATGTCATTGGATATAGTGGTGAGATACATTTTCCCAAGAAATATTGACATATATAATGCAAATTCTATGGGCATGAAGCCATAGAAGCATCTACTGCAGCTCAAACTAAATGAGGCCTACTCAATACGCATGGGGTAGAGGGATGGATCCTTGTGTTTAGAATTTTTTTTTTTTAATGTTCCAGACTGGGAAAATGTTAAATGGATGGTTCAGTTGTTTCCTATTCCATTCACAGAAGTTACTCTTTTGGGAATTGCCTTCTCACTGATTTCACTTGCTACTGTTCCTGTTTGCTTTGTATGTATTCCTTGCTGATACTGGGACCAAGCTACACCGACTGTTGAAGTAAAAGTTTAAGGTAGAAAAGTTATTTTATTTTTATTTAACAATTCAGAGGAAAGACAGGGACATTTTGGAAATTTCAAAATATAATGGTGATGACTGCTTTATAAATAAAAATATACATTCTGCCACCATTGATTGACTTAAAAAAAAAGAGAGAAGATGAGAGATTTAGATGGCATAGGACTAAAGAAGTTCAATAGCTGTCTTGATTTAATTCTCCATTGCCAAATTACAATTTGTTGTGCTTTGATCAGTATGAAGAGTAGGGAACACAGTTACTGACTTCATCCAGGCAAATAGATATAAACATAAAATCTCCAGTGTACAGATTAATATTTGTGCAGCTCAGAAACTAGAGGAAGGCCTTATTCAAGTCCTAGCATGATTCTGTATGTTATATAAAGTGAGTAGAATTTGATCTGAAAAGAGTAACTACTAATAAACCTTTAATTTATATAAAATAACAATCCTTGGTGTAGGAGTTAAAAATGGTTGAAATTCTGAAAGAAAGGAAGGAATAGAAAATAAATAGCAAGTAGGAAGGAAGAGAACAGTACACTGAAAAAGTAAATAGATAAAGTCAGAAGGAATATTTCAAGCTTGTGACTCCTTTCTTATCCTTTTATACTATTTGGTTATATCGCATGGTATAAATAAGATTAAATGATATATTACAATTATGCAAAAATTTGTAGACAGAAATAGGGCATAAGCTGCTGTAACTTCTATAGAACGACATCATTGTGCTCTGCATGTAAATTCAGTTAACTTTTTCCTAATTTTATCTACCAAGACTAGCCATAAATAATGTTTAAAAAGCTACTTTAAAATATATTGTTCCAGCAGTGTCTATTCTGTTCCATTTGTACTCTATTTAATGACATACTGTAGGGTTTTAGGAGATAATAATCTGCAAAATGCAATAGTCAGTGTCCAGGAAGAAACTATTAAAGTATATCACTAACGAAAACAAAGAACAAGAAGTTACTGAGAGCTAGACTTCAGAAAAATACATTACGGATAGAAGCTATTACCCACTGGTATGTAATAAACTCCTTAGCAGATAGTAGCTTGGGGAGAAAAGGTCTCAGAATGACAGCATTGTGATAAAAATAAGTTGATGATTCCTCAAAATCATCATTTCATTTTTAAGACTAACTGGAAGGGAAGTATCTTGAGGAAAAAAAACGCACACTGCTTGTTTCCAACCACCCATTTATAAAAAGAATAACTTTATTTCTCATCCTGTAGAAGCTATATACAAAGGCCTATTGGATTAAAAATCTTAGTGCAGAAAAGGAAATAATCACCAGCTAGGCCTGGGGAGAAGTTTTACAACTTAAAACTCAAGGCAAAGGCTTTGTGCATTTACTGAGTATTTCCCATGAGGGAGACTCCATAACCTTTCTGAGCAATCTGTTCCAGTGCTTGGTCACCCACACAGTAGTTTTTCTTCATATGCAGGTGGAACTTCCCTTGCATCAGTTTCTGCCTGTTGCCTCTTGTCCTTTTGCCTGGCATCACCAAGAAGTGCCTGGTTCCATCCTCTTGAAACCCTCCCTTCAGATACTGACAGACAGTAATGAGGTCCCCTCTCAGTCAGTCTCTTCTCAAGGCTGAAAGGGCCCAACTCGCTCAGCCTGTTCTCATAAGAGAGATGTTCCAGTCCCTTAATCATCATTGTTGCCCTCCACTGAAGATGCTACAGGAGCTCCCTGTCTCTCTCGTACTGGGGAGCCCAGAAGTGGGATACAGTACCCCAGCTGAGGCCTCACCAGGGCTGAGTAGAGGGGTAGAATCACCTCTCCTGACCTGCTGGCAATGCTCTTCCTGATGCACCCCAGGAGACCATTTGCCTTGTTGGCCACAAGGACACACTGCTGCCTCATGGACAGCTTGTTGTCCACTGGGACCCTCCAGGTCCTTCTCCACAGAACTGTTTTCAGCATGTTAGACACCAGAAGCACTGGTTCATGGGGTATTCCTCCCTGGGGGCGGGACCCTGCACTTGCCTTTCTTGAATTTAAAAATAATCCACTCTGCCCATCCCTCCCACCTGTCAAGGCACACATGCACAAATTTATTTGAAAGCTGTTACAGCTTTCCAAAGCAAGTGGGTCAGCTATAATGAAGTGCAGTAAGCTTTTGCTTTTTCGTAAAGGAAAAGAAAAAAATCCTGCTGTCTTTCCATTTTCTTTTTCTTTTCAGTATCACTTGCTTAGGTAATGAAGGCTTACTCTGATCAGAAGTATGTTGTATGTTCAGGGGTGTCATCACTGTAAGAACAAAGGCATAACTATAGATAAGTTCAGGCTGGTGGAAAATTACATAAAATGACAAACCAGAGTGAAAACTGTCTAAGGAAATCAGGGACAGGCTGTACTGGGTAAACATGGTGAGATGGAAACAATCAAGACAAGAACAACAACCCTCAAACCAAGGAGTAAGGCAACGTAGGAGCCAGCGGCAAAGCATATTGCAAAGATATTGCAAACTATGAGTCAAAGAGCTAAGGAAAAATATTTTTCTAATCACATCCCAAAAGAGATGTTTAATTATATTAGAAAATAGTCAAAGTTGACACTGAAATAGTCTCAACAATAGTTATTTAGTAAATTATATGTATTTTATTATAGTTTTATGACAGTTAATACTGATATGTCTAAGTAGTCTGTCTTACATTTATTATTCATTATATATTCTGTATAATTCCAAAGTACAGATTGCCAACATTTTATGTAATGAAAATGGTATTCGGTTTTGTACACTGGGCATGGTTTCCTAAGCGTAACAGATAGAGAAATGTTATAACATATGTATATAATTCTGCCCAATGCAAGGAATACATGCAGCCATAGAACTATTCGTTTACACAAAATGCTACTAATCATAACCAAGTCAGACTAACTAAACTAATTTATCTTTTACAGCTATGCACGCCAGTAGGCTTGAAAGCCATACTTGTTTGTTTTACTTTATCTTGGGGCACATAAAATCACAGTATTTGGCAGCATGGGATAAGGGACATTAAATCAGCTTTTATGCTGTTGTTAAGAAACCCATAGAGGATGGGATTCAAGCAGCAGGACATCATACCCAATAAATGGCATATGCAATATACTAATTTAAAATGTCTGTTAGAAATGAGAGTGGCATTAAAATCTGTCACAATGTGGAAAAGGTGAAGAGGCATCCAACTGAAACCAAAAACTAGGATTAGCACTGTCAGTCTGCAAAACACTCTCCTAGATCTTGTCTTAATTCTGACAAAGGATTGGGATACTGTAATCATGTCCTGGATCTCTGTATTTTCTTCTGGTTTCATTTCAAAACAGATAGGAATCCCAGGGATGAATTTACTGGAGGAAAAGAGCTGACTTTTTTCTGTGCCAGAGGTTTCTGGGAGATCTCTTGAATGAGTATCCTGATGATGCCTTGAAATAGCTGGCATCACACTTGAAGTCTTTCTGCTGTATCTTCTGTGGTGCCTTCTGCCAAAGCCACAGCTCCACCTGGACTGCCCAGAGGACTGTGCCTGTGTGCTCTTCGAGGGATGAAGAGTGAGGTTTATCATCTCCTTCTCTTCAAACTTGTTTTCCTTGCTTGACAGCCTAGAGCCTATGCTCCTGCAGACGCTGGTGTGACTGGCAGTCAAACATGCCAGTGGCAGTATGTACTGCATGAACAGTAAGGCGATTGTAAAGGCAATTCTGTACGAATCGGAAGGCCATGACTCGATACACAAGAGTCTGTTCTCCAGTGCCTCTAAATTCAGAGTTTTGCTGAGGTCCACAATTTTATGGAAAACTGGCAGAGGGGAGCAAATTGTGAAGCCAAAGGCCCAAATGGTCACTATTAAGAAATAGCCTTGTTTTGCTGTTAGATTGCTAGAAAGGGGATATTTTATCATACGGTACCTGACTGCAGCAATAGATATTAACATCAAAGTTGAAACTAGAACCGATGCACATTGGAGGAAGGGCATTACATGGCACATGACAGTGCCAAACATCCACTGGTCAAGCAGGACGGATGTCAGTGTGAAAGGCGAACAGAACAGCACAACCAAGATGTCAGAAAAGGCCAAGTTACCTATGAGAATGTTTATTATTGTCTTCTGCTTGCACTTTAGTAGGGCCATTAGTATAAGCAGATTTCCCATAAAGCCAGCCAGACTTATAAGTGTGTACAGCCCAATAAGAAAGTACTGTATGTCATCAACACTACTCCTATAGTCTTCCCAGGCAGAAAAATTCTTTGTAGTAGCAGAGGTGTTCCTGGTAGGTGTCCTGTTGTTACGGTCTTTTAATCCTAAATCCATTTTACAGTCCCTGCTTAGAACGAGAAAGGCATTAATTAGCATCTGAAGGAACAATGATATTGCTGTTAATCAGAACGTAAAGGAACATAAATTTACTTTGTATCACCTCAATGCAAATAAATGACTAGTCATGTTAGTCTATTGTGAGGCAGATCCTGTATAACTTCAGGTCAACATGAATTAGTTACATAGGTTTTATCACGTGGTGTTCAGCACGCCTTGGTCTCCTACCTGGTTGCTCACGTGGGAGAATGGCAATTTAAGGTCCTGTATTATGATGCTGGCTTTTAACTATGCTTTGCTATAGACTATATTGTCAGACTTTCCATGAGGGAACAGTTAGCTACAAAAGCAATTCATCTTGAGTTGGGGAGATTACTCATGTGCATAACAGCCCATTGATATGGGTAAGGAAATGACAGTCACCATCTGGGCACATGCCTAGTCATTGTATCACAGCAAATTATAATGAGGGCACCAGAAAATACATATGCTAACAACTGCACTAGCATTTCTTACCTTGCTAGTAGAGAGCTAACACAAAATAAGTGAGAGTTTTCAAAAATGATCAGGAAATCCACTGTCAGTGATCCAAGATGGAATTCCTAATGTGGTGTGCATAGAAACCCTTTTCTATTAAAAGTTGAACATATTTTAACTGGTGCTCAAGCAGAAAGGAAAACTGCCTACAAAACATCTAAAGTAACTGGATGTAATACAAAGAAGACAGTGTTAATTGGAAGCAAACCCCACACCGCCATTTGAAAATTCAGTGAACCACTAATTATTCAGCATAGAAACATCTAATGTTAAAACATAACTCAGCACAAAGTTATTCTGCCTACAGAATCTCTGTGTATTTGTCTTCATTTTAGAACAAAGAGAAAGACCGGAGAATTTAGTTCAAGCTTCAGTTTACCTTAAACACCTGCATATACTGAGGTTTCAAAGTTCTCTAGATTGCTAGTGTCCTGGACAAAACTGCTTAATGTTTAGAAGTCTTACATAAGAGAAAACAGGAATGTCTAAACAATACTAAAGCATATATAAATTGAGCAGAAGGCTACATTTGTCACTGAAAAAAGGCAGGGCTCTTCAAGGCTCCTCTGTGAGCTGTATGGTGCTGACTTCTTCAGAGTGTAAAAATATTATTCAGCTTCCTCTACACATGCAGATGTGTTCCTTCCTTCACATCACGTGTGTTCCTACTGTCAGGTGCCGAAGGGAAGCTCAAACCTTAAAACAACCTCAGAATATTCAATGACAGAGTGTTGTGATGTTGTGATGAGAAGGCTCCTCAGGTAACAGTGGGAATACTTACTTAAAAAGAGTAATATCTTGCAAGTAATGTGTTGGAAACAGGTGAAAATAAGTCAACATTGCCAACTTCTGTCAATCTTAAAGTGCTTTAAAATAGCTAAAATAGAAGTAAGAACTGGATATGTGAATTTAGATAGCCTAAATTTTCTAATTGTCTGCATACAAGCAGAGTCATATTAATGCATATTATTTCTGTTCAGTTTTTCCCAGTCTTTAATGCAATGGTGGGAAACCATGTAATAGACAAACAGTGCTATCTGAGACTACCTTTGCCTCTAGACCAACTTTAAAGAAGTAGAATAGAGCTTCTGTAAGTGATCAAATCTCTCTATGTCTATGTTGATATTATCAGAAATTTTCATTTTGGGTGGCTTCTCTTTATGCAAAGATTAGCTAATTAAGTAAATATTTTTTTACTTATTTTTTCTGAGCTAATTTCTCTGAGTTGCTACTAACCAACCAAAACCAGTATGATCTGCATACCACAATGACTTCCAAAATCTGCTGAAATTTCTTTCTTTTCCCTAAGTATGACTCTACATAACTTTTGCCTGAGGAACCCCCTGCAGAGCCTTGGTCTAGATAAGATACATTTCCATACCTCAGGCTTATGGCATTATGTCCCTGTTATGTCACACTTGTATCATTTTTTTTCTCTTTGTTCAGCATGGAGGAATGGTGGATTTTGCTGACAGACGCTTTTGCAGATTTCAGTGTGTGAAGGCCACCTGTAATCTCCACACCCTCTTTTGATTGATGAAAGCCATTTCTACTCTATGTTGTTTTTCAATATGAAATATTACCTGCCTAATATTTTCAGGGTGAACATTCTATTATCTTTGCTCCACCACACTACACACTTAGCTGAGAAGTCTGTAGGAAAAAACCTTGCATAACTGAAGAGTTAATAAAGAAATGCTACTAGTGTTATTCTGGACAATTCTCTTTTTGCTTGGACACCTTCCTTTGCCAGTTTATATCTTGCACAGATTAAAAGAGCTTTACTAATGGAACATCCCATTGCCTGCTAGCAGGTTTGAACCATATCAAGAGGTATTTGAGAAAGGGAAATGAAACACTATTCAAGAGCTGGATCTCTCCAAATCTTGGTTACTTATCAACTGAGAGAAAGAAGACTAATAAGAGAGAAGGAAATACAGTACCACCTTAAGACTCAAAAAAACACTCAAAAACTCTTACAATGCTCTCAAAGTGGTGATGACTCTGAAGAAATGAGCTTTTCACTTATTTTTTGTGCCTCCATAAGTAACTCTGTACTAACAGCAATCATTCTGCGTAGTCTTCTATTTTAACCGATACTAGGTTGAACGATGAACCTGCAAAAGAAGAAACAAACTGGAGTTACTGTTTCTCCCACAGAAACCCAGCAATTAGGGTTGCTTTTAGTGTATCTAAAAGTATTTTCCATAGCAGTTAAATTCCTGCACATCATCACAGCTGAAGGTCATACCGAGCAGTAAAGATGCACACCAGTGTTTAAGGTATAATAGCAGCTATGTATGTGTGAGAGTTTTGTTGATCCACGTTGAAAACTACAACTCCCACTCTAGACTTTTTGGTAATATTTGCTGTCACTGAAAAGGTTCACAGGCAATAGGTTCATCAGTGAATGGAAGAAAAAGCAGGCATTCCTACTGGTAGAAAAGGCTGTCTATCTAGGTAGTCCATTCCATTTTAATTATGTGTTATGGTCTGTAAAGAAATCTTTATCTTTTCCATTAAGTTTTGCTTAGTTTTAATTAATGGATTCTATGAAGAGAATTGAAACAAATCTGGTGGTGTCACTGTTATTTCCTTCTACCACTTTCAGATTTGGGTGACTAAAAGTGAAAAGGAAGAGACTTTCAAGTCAGATGCACCATAATTATTTTATCTTCTAGAAATTTATATTCCATACAGACAATGCTAAGACTAGGGCCAGAGGACAAAATTTAAGTGTTGTTATACCGTAACATGTTCATTAAATGAATGCTTATAGAGTTCTTCTTGAAGGTTTAACTGAAAGATTGTTGCCAGGCTCTGTAGATTCTACACCTCCACATAGAGCTCTTGCAGTATGGCTTTAGCAGAACTGCTCATTATGTTTTTAATAGAATTCTTTAAAAAACAAAAAGTGAATACGCTGGTTTTGCTGAAGTAGACATTTTATTGAGACACATCAACACGGAAGAAGCTTAGTAGCTGTGCCTCTGAACTCCAGCATGAGCTCTCCAGCTCCATCCCTTCTGAGCTATGGCTGCCTTCTGCCTGGGGTGAGAGATGAAAAGATGCCATCTTCCCTGTCATATGTCCTCATTGCCATAAGGAAGGACCACTGCAAGAAGCCTCAACATGATCTCTTCAGGCTCTAGCTGGACACTTGGGGCACCACAGGAGTCTGCAGTACTCTGAAGCCCCTTCTGCACCATCTCCCTCTAATCACAGTTTCAGAGTGGCAGAAAGACAGAGGGGAAGGAATAACATTATAATCTGCTGTTTCAGCACAGAACTATTGTGCTGAAAAAAATTTGCTTTGCAAAATGCCCAAAAATGATTTATTTTCATTTTGGATGTGTAAAATGAAAGCAGACTTTTGCCCCCAAATTTCAAAAGATGCCAAGTGGATCTCTTGTCTCTGAGCATCCTCTCCTGATCAAAAGAAACCAGTTGCTCTCAGCTTGAGTGCCACTGGCAGTAAAGGTGTAAACAAAAGTGTTCCTCCTGTATAATTGATTTTCAGTCCCCAAACTCAATAGCATGCCACTGATTTTACAGGGCTATGTGCACTTATTGGCATTTATCTTCCTGCTTTGTTTTAACAGCTGCCTCTATTTTGAGAGATTCTCTCACTCTCCCTCTTGCTGGTTGGTCAATCCCAGTACAGCACGTGGCTGTAGCTTTTAGGGAAATGGAGATTCATGAAAATTCCACTGTGGGAAATAGAATTAAATAATAGAGTCTCTTTTCAAAACCTTCTCCTCATATTTGAAGTGTATTTCTAAACTGAATGCACCACAGTACCAGAGTGCTCTTGCACCTGTTTTCAAGCTTAAATTTAGTCAGTCTGAAGGTACCTGATGGAGATTTTCAGCTGTCAGCTCTAAAGGTTGGATCACTTTCATCTCCTACATCAATCAGCCAAGCAAATGAGGTTCCCTTTTTGTGATCCTGGTCTGTGTACACTCCCAACTGTGCCCAGCTACACCTGTATGAGCTCACACCCCGTGAGCTTTACGTAGGTTTGCTTAGGTCTTCTTTAGTTTCAATGGAATGCTTGAGACAGAAGGCTAGGCTGCATACGGCAGGAGAGACTTCAGTTTCATGGCAGTCCAAGGTGGATTTGAATATTTACTGTAAGACTCATATCAGTTAACACTGAAAAAAAGCAGTTAACATTTAAGGGTACAGTAAAATGTATTTTATAACAGATGGTGTACCATGATCTTGAAGAATTTCAAATAACACCTCCTTAAATCACAATAATTTATGGTATATCTCAGTGTGACTCTCTGATTACTGTGATTCTTATTTTCACCAAAAGCATGCTTCAGTTGCAGTTAATCTAGGGCCTGAGATTGACGGGGAGAAATGAATCCATTATGCAGGTGTAGCTGAGTTGGAAGTAACACATAACCCAAAATATGCTAATTTAATATGCTTAATATCTTGTAATTAATATCATTATTTCACTTAAAGCTATCACTTAAAATACAAAATCTATAAGTGACAATTTAGGGGAGTTAATAGGCTGGCTATTTCTCTTTCTCTAAATATTTAAAGGGAAATTTTCAAGAATACAAATGTTAGGCAACCATCATCCTCTAAAAGCAATTGTTTTTCAGGAAATGTTCCTTCTATTAGATGAGGTACTTACATTAAAGTTTATTCATGCATAAGAGCTTATATCCTACAATATTGATACCTATTAAGTTAACTCTGACTGGCTGGTCCTTGTATAGTCTAGTCAGTTCCATTCTTGTAATAGGACAATTAATCTTTATAGCTGTGAACAATTTATAGTCTTAGCGAGGAAGCAAAACGTGAAAATTACCTAGGAAATACAACCTTTCTGCCTCCGTAACACTGGACTTGTATCAAGACTGCATAGAAAAAAGTCAGAGAAAGTCTTTAAACTTCTACGCAGCTATAAATAGTTAATAAGACAAGCTGTTACTGTGCGACTACTGCAGCTTAACGAAAGCACTGAGCTGTGCTGTTACAACTTGAGAAATTATGCCCTCACAACATTAAAGACTGAGATAAATCCGAGACAAAATTTGAAACCACTCAAGTGTTGCATTCACAATACAAGCTAAAAGATGAAAAGCTGCTGTTTCCGATGTTGTTCATTACACGCAACAGCAAAAACTAGCCTGAGAACCTGTGAGAATTCAAAAGATTGAAAGGACTTCAGAAGTCCAGAAAAACGGATTTCTGTGCATGTTAATGGTATGCCTCTTTCTGTGCCTGACTAAAAAAAGAACTGCAACATTCTCCGGGAAAACAAGAACACAACTTCCCGAAATATGCCAAAGCCAACTAATAAGAATATACCTCCAGCTCCAAGTAAACGGTCTGGAACGTAACGAGCCATTTGCTGGTCAGAACAGGAAACTTTAAATGCACGGCTACGTTTTCTACGAGGGAGCACAGCAGCTCCTGGCTCTCGGAGTCAAAATCACCAAACCGGGGACGACTGCTATTTTCGCCCTGGCGCACCTCGCTCGGGATCCGCTTCTCCCTACGAGCCCGCACCGCCCCTCGTCCGGCACCGCGCTTAGCCCGGAGCATCACGATCCCCCCGCGCCTCGCCCAAGCGAACCCCCCGTATCCCGCGCAACTGCTGGCAGGGACCTGCCCCACCTAAACTTGCGCCAGCCCAGCCCAGCCCGCCGCGGCTCCGCGCCCGCCCCGCGTTACCTGCGCGCTGTCCCGCTGCGGGAGCCCCGCGGGGCGGCGGGGGCGAGCCGGGCAGGGCAGGGCAGCCCCGGGCCGCGCTCACGGCTCCAGCCCGGCGGGCACGGTGGAGCGGGAGGAGGGGGAGCCTTAGGCGGGCGCTGCGGCGGCGCTGGGTCTCGCCTGCGGCCGAGGGCCGCGCCCCGGGGCCGGCGCTGCCGCACTCGCCGCCCGCCCGGCGGGGCCGGGGCCGGGGCTGGGGCTGGGGCCACCGCGCTGGCGCATTTCGGGAGGCCGCTCCAGGCGGCCCTGGAGCCCGGTATTCCGGCGCTGCACGGTGTGACAATTAGAGTTTCCATGGAAATGCAGTGAGTCGGTAAATAAAACCCCGCGCTCGCCGGTGCTTACGGGATGCTCTCAGTGCCTCACCCGGCGGTCAGGACACGGCATTTTGCAAAGGTGAAACGCGCTGCGAGTCGCGGGGAAGCGGGAGCACAGACAGGCAATCACAGAGCGGTGACCTGAGCTCCCCTCGCTTCGGCTGGAGAGGAGCTCTGCAGGTGTTCGTTCATCCATGCTGCTCGAACACGCTTTACTTTTTATTTTAGAACAGGTGGGAGGCGATGGATTTCCCCCCAATAGTTTTCCTTTCCGAGCTGAGTAACTCGGTTCTTACAGAAGAAAGTATCTGAAAGGTGGTTTTAATTTTATCTGAACAATCAGTGGGAAGGCAGAGCATTTTCTTAAGTGAGCAGTATTTTAAGGCATAAAAATTGTCGGGTGTGTCATAGCACAAAGCATGAAAAGACATGAAAAGACAAATTCTGCTGTCCTCACCAGCTGTTATCTTCTAGCACAAGAAGAGCCATTGATCATAGTCCTATTACAGAGCTACTGGAGAACTGAGTGACATGCAGGTCTGTGGGAGCACAAGTGGCAGAATCTGACACAAAAAAGTAATGACTTTCCCATTTGCCAAGGCGCTACTTCGACAGTTGATATTAACACAGCACTGCAGAAAAGCTGTCAGTATAATTAACCTGTGAGAGACTGTACCACACAAAACCAAAACAACCAGATCAATCATATTGTAGAATAACCTTTGAAAAGTCCGGTTAGGTTCCTTATTTAACTTGGGTTAGAAAATACTCATTGAATGATCAAGGAACAAATAACCTTAATCTTCAGCAGATGAGCTCAGGATGGCAAGGAATATTTCATCCTATCTTCTTTCACCCGCTTCTGTATTATCCACCACCCACTTCTGGTGAATCACTGCATGTACAAGTGGAGCACAGGGAGCTGACAGTGGAAGTGACGCGCCAATCCATCTCATCATTTTAAGACAGCTTTCCCGTTAGTCACAAGGGAGAACAGAATTAATCCTTTTTAGGCCTGAGCAGCTGTTCTTAGCATTTTCGACCATCTTCCCACCTAGTACTGATGGTTTTGAAGCCTTTCACGCAAATATTTGACCTGAAGATAGAAACCCACTCTGGTTCTAACATGTGATGGAGGTGATTAAGACTTTCTCCCAGGGTACCCACTTACCTGGATGTCCCTTGTTCCAGCAGAGCTTCCCACATTTCTGGCTTCACTGCTGATAGTGGAAGCTGCCTCCTGGAAACAATGACTTTTTAGAGACACTGCATCTTTCTATGAAAACTTTTGGCTATGGCAAACCCATATTGTCTTTAGAAAGAAATCCACATTTGCTGGTAGAACTCACAAGAGGGAAATTAAAGTTTCTTACGTTGCACAGTTGTGATTTATGTGGGATACCATTGTACCTTCATAAAGGTACAAACAGTCTTCTTTCATATAGGCCATTTCTAAGATGGGAGTTCACCTAGTACAGTTTCCCAGGCAGCCTCCAGAAATCATGTGCTTCTTAGCAGGAGCAGTCAGTAACACAAATATTCCTCCCTCAAAGCAATTTTCTCTAAGAATTAAATATCATACTTGTTTTGTTGGTTGTCCTACTTCAGGAGGGTTCCTCAACCAGTAATGTATTGGCAGGTGTGGGCTTGTTTATTTGTTTTCCCCACAGACCTGTAAATAACACCAGATTTCTCTCAGCTGTATTTGGACAATTCATCCCTGATACTTGCGCACATCAGAGGCTATTACTATTCAGACCATTATCATTTTTTCCTTTTCACTGTTTGTGTACCTCTCTCTTGCCAGTCATACTACTGAATAATAAAATCAGTAATTTAGAGATAGGAAAGGTCTAGAAGTATTGAATGTCAGAAGTGACAAGTACAAGTTCCCTAGAAACCAGCCACCATGGGGTTCTTGAAAACACAGAGGAGTCCTTGAGGAAGTAAGAGATGGTGATGATGAAAGATACCTATTCTGGAGAAGCTGAGGAAGAAAAATGGTGCATCAGAGAGAAAAGATTGAGATTCCTGAGTCAGAAGAACAAAACAGAAAATATAGCAGAGAACTCTGTGGTTATATGAATACAAATTAATTTTGGCACGTTTCTTATCCCATTCCCACATGTATCTTTCTTTTGGGAGTATCATTCTAATATCTTAGAAAATTCAGCCTCTAAAGGCTAACTGCGAAAGTTAGCCTGACACCAGTGGAACACCTATCCATGGGGCAAGACAGTGTAAATGGTAAGACATAGCTACTACAGAGTTTGAGAGATTTTATGAGATACATAAAAAACATTTCTGTTGGTCAAAATTTTTCACCCATCTCTTCACACCCAGCAAAAATACTATTAAAATATTATTCAAAATACCACTAATCTCTGGCTTCTGTATAGCCCTTCCACAGATTCTTACCTTGCATAAAGCAGCCAATCTTGGACTACTGAAGAGGTGGCAATGGTTGAGCTGTCTTTGTGATGAAAGGCAGGACGTCTGATGGTTAGCTAATAAAATACTTCCAAGGGTGAGCCTGTAATTAGTCATTTTTGTTGCCTAATGTGTCATCACATTTTTTGGCTGGTATTACACACACTGACCCATCTGGATGATCATGCTGAACTGCAGGACCTATTTCTGCTTCATCTGAAGCCAAGTGAGAACTTGTGTATGAGCATATGTAAGTTTGAATCCTTAATGGACAGTGCAGGGTGGGCACAGCACAAAACATGACTTAGTATTTTAGCCAGGTGAACATAACTTAGGTTATATCTCAAGCAGCCTTTAAGTAATATTTCATGTGATCAGGATAGATTTACACTAGTTAACTTGGCTGTATTGTTGAAAATAGAACTGCAGCAACAAGACTGTCAGTGGAGATTAACCACATAATCTTTCATTCAGCTTATTTGGGTTTGTGACATTAGCAGTCAAATGAAATGTTGTTATGTTTGGTGTCAGATGCAGTTGTGTCGGAATAAACATGCTCTTATCCAAACAGAGAATTTGCTGCTATTCAAATTGTACTCAACACCGAAAGGCCTATTTAGTCTACTGGTGACAGACTTTTGCCCCAAGCAGCATGAGTTCCCTTATCTTTGAGTAATGTGAAATGCAAGTATTTCAATAGCACTGATGTTCAGTACTAGAAAATGAAAACAATAAAAAATAAGGTTAAAAACCCTTCAGACAGTGTTTCCATTCATTTCCATAGTGGGGACTTCAGTTTGTTTTATAGAAAATAGAAAGTTTAAATGATTCTCTTAGTGTTCTTCTACTTGGTGTTTTTTAAGTTTTGCAGAGAGATTGCAATGCCTGAGCACATGACAATACGTTGCAATGAAAGTGACAGCCTCATTTTAAGACATCTTTTCCATTTTTGAGAGTTGCAGCGAGAAAGAATTTTAATGGATTGATGTCTTGGTATATTTTTTTCTACATGTTTCTTAAACATGTCTTGTTCTCTTCTCAATGCTTTTACTTCAAAGCAATTCTGTATTCCTTTACTCAGGCTGTTCTGTTTCCTTAGTTGAAATACTTGTGTTCTGTTCATTGCACATTTTGCAATGTCATGCCTTCACACAAATAAACATATACACACAAACAAACAGTTTTCCAGTCCAGGGTGCCTTTGATGTACTGAAGAATTTATTCCCTGGAAGAGGATAATCTTTAGCACAATGGTTATCTTACTACGCCAGTGTTCTTGTGTCCTGACAGTCATCACCGCTAAAATTAGATTTACTGAGAAATCATTTGACATCTTTGTGATCTTGGAGCTCCAGCTGGAGACTGTCAGCTTGGTGTTGAGACTGAAGATGCACAGGATAGCCAAGGCTTGCTAGTGCCCAGTTTTCTTACAGAGCATACGTGATGCTACATGGCATTTGCTTCACAACCTGTATTTTATATAGCTACAATGGAAAGTTTGAAAAGAGTCTCTTTGTTTATTAGAGTGATTATTTTTTAGTGTGTTTAGTGTTCACATGTATGTGAAGTGCTTCAGAGAAGACTGATACAGCTCCAACAGATTCAGTCATCTGAGGTGGGTACACAACAGTATGGCAAAGCAGAAAGCTTGCAGTAAGACTTGGGTTATAGCATGTGTGCATACATGCTATATGCACTCATAAGTGTAGCACATGTGTTTGAAAGACTCAGTGACTGAGGCAGCCCTTTCCATTGATCCACTGCACTGTTCAAAGCCTGACCTTGTATCTGTCTGCTGTGTGAATAACTGTGAATATTTGTTGCCATCACTGTGAGTTCAGGTCACTGAGTAGCATGTAGGCTCTATATTTTATCTATTATAGGTAATCATTATATTTGCATAATTAGAGGTATTGTGAGGTTTGTTTTGCCTGTGTTTATGCGATGTTTGAAATTATCGTATATATTAACCACTAAAAAGTGAAGTGTTATGAATCACTTCATTTACTGTTGAAACAGAGATCCTCATCACTAATGACAAAATGGACAAGAGAGAAGATCATACCTATCTGAAATTTAAGAAATATTTGTGACAGAAACAATGGCATTTCAATAGGGTAGTAAATTAAGGCCTCTATTTAAAATAGAGTAGAAGGATGAGAAACAAAGGAAAAATGCACAACTTCCTACACCCCTGTCTTCCCAGGCTCAACATCACTTTTTCATCCCAACTCTTCTATATTCCTACCTCCCTGAGTTGTGCAGAGGCACAGGGAATGGGGGTTCTGGTCAGTTCATCACATGTTTCTGCCACTCTTTCCACCTCATGATGTTTTCCTGCTTCAGCATGGGGTCCTTCCCATGGGATACAGTTCTTCAATAGCTGCTCCAGCATGGGTCCTTTCCATGGGGTACACTCCCTCAGGAACAGATTGCTCCAGTGTGGATTCCCCACAAGGTCACAATTCCTGCCAGCAAACCTTCTCCCATGTGGACTCCTCTCCATGGACCACAGTGTGGCTCCACCATGGGCCTGCATGGGCTGCAAGGAAACAACTTGTGTCCTCATGGTTCCCACCACAGGCTGCAGGGGAATCTCTGTTCTGGCCAAGGGTGGATCCATTTCAGAGTCAGCTGAAAATGGTTCTTTTTTTGAAGTGAGTCACAGAATATTCTGAATTGGAAGGGACCCACAAGGATCATCAAGTCCAACTCTTAAGTGAATGGCCTCTACGGGGATCAAACCCATTCTGTTCAGCATGGGGCCCGCTCCTGGTGTCTTCTCGCAGAAGCCATCCCTGAAGCTCCCCAGCTTGTTATGTAAACCCAAGTCTCTTGTTCTGAGCTGGTCCTAGAAATGTATCTCTGCACTGGATACCTGTTGGCAGAGTACCACAGTTCTGTATCACAGAATGCTTGTTTTTATTTTTTAAATAGCCATCTTGACCATATTTGTAAGAGCATTACAGGGGAAGGGTGGTGGGAAGGAACACCCTGGCATAACAAAAAAAGTGCTTTTTGTCTGCCTAGCAATTTATCTATTGCCCTTAAAAATGTCTATATTGGACAATACTTTCCTTTTTTTGGTAGTGTGAATGAATCATTCCACATCCATAGTAATGAGAGGTCTCAGTTGTACATATCCTAGAGTGTCACTGATTCAGACAGAAATATACCCTTTATGACACTTTCAGCTTGGATCCCTGTGTGAGTGTACCCACCTTTGCTCTATTCAGTCAAAGGTCAGTGCTAATGACCCATGTATGACTGAAGTTCTTGAGATGCATTATATATAGCTTGCACTTACCTTATGGCTGCTGCTGTTAAAATGTCAGCAGCACCCCAGCTACTGGTTTACAGCAACTTGCACTTTCCTTTCTTACATCAAGGACTGCAGTTACAATGCAGTTGAGCTGAGCTCCTGGAAATACAGTATAAACATCAACTTCAGTGCTGGGTTCTGAAATCTTCCTATGAGACTCCTTCTACAAAAAATGTTGCAATCATTTACTATGTGCAACAAATTTTTTAGCTATAATTACCATAGTTCCTCAGTTGAGACTTATCCACAACAACAGTGTTGCCATATAATAGGTATATGCCTGAAGTAAGAATGTAAAAGCATGCAACGCCTTACACCACAAAAATTAATCTGGAGCCTTGGAAGAATTAGGAAACTTCTGTTTTCCAAGAAATCTAAACTCTTAACACAGCCTGCAGATTTTGCCAGGGCATTTTCAAAGTGTTGCTTAAGTTTATCTGGGTAACTTCTCACAGAATTCCCAACTTACCGTCTTTTGTAACCATCAAAGTAGATCAGTGCCATGATTTTTGGGAGTGGCACAACAACGTGTTTCAGCAACTTGACATTTTTTATTCATCCATTCATCACTGTTCAGACCAGAAGCTGGTTGTACTGGTTTAAAAAGCCAAACCCAAACTCTGTAACCCGCTCCTTATGCTTAAAAATCTCTTCCTCGTCCGCTTTCCAACAGCTTCTATTTCCATCTTTAGTTTGGCCACAAGATGGCAATAACTTGCAGACAAAATGCTGAAACAGGCAAACCGATTTAAAACTGTCTCCCTTCCTGAGCTTTTCCTTGCGCTCTTCCCCCCATCCGCCTCTTTTGTTTCAATATTTAATTGCATTTCTTTCGGAATTACTAGGCAACCCACCCCCAGATGTGCAGTTTAAAGGTGATGTGCTTGCAGTGAGATTTTCAGGATCTACTCAGCAGAGCACCATCATGTGATACTGGGGTAAGGTGGAGTTCAGCTTTAAGGGGGAGTCTCTAGCCTTCCTCACCCATCTTTAGGATCTCAGCTGAAGAAATACCAGAGAATGCTTCCCCTTTCCCTACTCCCTCTTCTCCATCCAGCCTCCTGAGGCATCCTCTGAGCAGACCAAAGACGGGCAGAGCAGTTGCAAGGTGAGTTTCCCCTGCGATTGCTTTCCCATGACTGTGGGTGGTTGTGTGCCGGTTAGGCTTGTGTTTGTTGCTCTCTCAGGTGCAGGTGACAAAATTCAAGGGAGGGATAGGCTCCAGGCTGGACTTGCAAGTGGCTGTCGGCTTGGGCTGACAGCATTTTTTGCTTGCTTTGGAATAGCTCCAATAGTTTTACGGTCCATTTCCTGTCACCTCACAGCACATTATTTCACCCTTTCTGTCTGTTAGTGCTAAACTTTTGACCAAAATTCTCATGGAGAGTCAGGATTGTGCGCGTGGTGGGGGAGACAGTGCAATCACCCAGCGGGGTCTACAGAGCTATGGGCTTTCCCTGTCCCAGGCCAGCACTCCTGGGAGTGGGGAGAGTTCTCTTTCCTGACTTGGGAACTGGTGGGGTAGGGGACAAGGAACAGTGCAGCTGTCCAGGAGATGCAACTTCATCCCCTCCTGATGTCTGGTCCATTTTGGAGAGGGACAGGAAAGAAGGATCCCTTGTCACTTGCTAGCAGTGCTGTGTTTCTGAGCTGGTTTGCTGACATGCTCTTAGGTTGCATCTCTGCTATGGGGAAAGGTGAGGGAAGAAGGAGCAGTAGCAGTTTCTAGTTTTGAGTTTGATATTTAATAAATAAGCAAGAGCAGAGCTTGTCTAAGGGAGTAAAAAAACCAAGAGCTTGAAACCCAGGACACCCTGTTGCTGGGTGCAGTTTAGTCCCAGCTGGTGAGAGAACCTGCCCAGTTCCCTCCTTGCCTGACATGGCTCTTCACCCACTCTGCTCCTGCCATCATCCCATCAAGTCACAGGGCTGGACTGCCCACCTCGTGCTGTACAAGTGATGGTGAAGATCATGATAAAATCCAGATGTGACTTTTGGACTATGATAGTCATACTGCAGGAGCCCTGGTTCTCCACATCACCCACACACTTTTCCTTTGGGTAAAGCACCTACTTATGGCTCCAGCTGAAGTGATGCTTCAAGAGGTCCTGGGGGTGGAAATTTCTTTACTGCACCCTAAAACAGATCTTGTGGACTAGATCTCATAAATTTAGTTCGCAGAGGCAGCAGGTCTGAGAGAGAATGCTCAGGTGTGTGCCTAGCTGTCTTGAAAATCAGCATAGCCAAACCTCAGACAGAGATGCCTTTTGTCTGAAATCACTGCTGTTAACTTTCACAGTAAAATGTCACACAAGCTACATTGCCTGTTGTGGTTTCACGCAGCCATGTGGTGATTATAAAGAGCCAGCAGAGATGAGGTGAGCTCATGGTGGCAGCAGCAGTAAGAAGTCATGGCATTGCCATTGTCATCCTTTGGCTGACCCTCAGAAGGAGCTGGAGCTGCAAGCCCATCCTTCACACACTGGCTCTGCCCTAGGGAGGAGGCAGCCCCAGCTCTGGTCCCCAGCATGTGGCTGGTTAAAAGAGTGTCTGCCACCAGTAACAGACAAAGACGATTCTTCTCCAGAGACTTAGATGGCACAGAGATTTCTATTGAGCATCATTTAAGATCAAAAGCTCACCTATTCAGGGTAACTTTTAATGAAGTACATTTTAGTGGGCAATGTTTCTACAGCTTTTGTGATAAATGCCATATGGAGACGTGTTTGAAACCCACTTGTGTGAATTTTAAGTGGCATATTTCATTACCATAACCTGAGGTTAAGTGAGCAATAAATTTAGCTCATGGGAGTGGCCAGAGGTAAAGTTCCAGGCTCAGTGCAGAATTCAGTGCCACTAATGGTGAGCTGAAGTAAAGGTGTGTCAGGTTATTGATTAATTGTTTATTAACTGTTTATAAAATTATTTTATTTAATTTTTTTATTTTCCTCCTGAACATATATGCTTGAGTTTCAAATTTTTAAAATTGAGGCCTTGCGAAAGGGTGATTATTTAAGCATGCCTGTTTGTGTTGTGTGGGTAAAGAAATTTTCTTCAGTGTTTAAATTTTGCTATCTTTTGTCTTGTTTTGTGAGCTGCATAGCCTTGCTAGCTGCGATTAAGTTGTTCAGAGTTCCTAATTTGCCTTTGACTCGGTGCCAGTGCTGCTGTGGGCACTCGGTCACTCAACATCAAGTGTATGCACTAGGGAAAAAAGAATGCAGCAATTTTGGGAGTAATTTTTCCACCCCTCACATTGGTCAGATGGGCTTTCCCCCGCTCATGTGATGACTGCATGTCATTTCACTTAGAGCAGTTTGAGAAATCAGACGTTTGCAGATTAAATTTATGAAAAGGAGATGTAGGGCATAAAGTGAAGGCTGCGCCGATGAATTCCGAAATTGCTTCCCAGCTCGCTATTCCGCGTAACTTGTGCCGGCGGGAAGGGGCCGGGCAGGGGTCGTGTCCCCGCTTGCGGTCCCGTTGCTTCGCTCCTGCTTTCTGCCTCCATCCCGCGGACCGCAGCCCCGCTCCCGCCGCCCTGCGCGGGGCCCGGGGCCGGGCGGGTCCGTCCGGGGCCAGGAGCCGTGCCCGAGGTGACCGGCCCCGCTCCTTCCCTTCTCCCCAGGTGGCCCGAGGGAGATGCGGAGCTGAGGAGCGGGCTCGGCCCGGCCTCCGCTGCGGGACCGATGGGCGCCCCCTGAACTCGGAGCGGTCTGGATGAGAGCGGCGAAGGGCGGCGGCGAGTTGGAAACAACATGAATACCTCCTCGGCCTTCGCCCCACTGGGAAATATTTCCGGTCACCTGAATATTTCGGAGACGAACTCGCAGATCTTGCAGTTTGAGGACGAGGATTGCCGTGTGCCTTTAGCCATGGTCTTCACTCTGGCCTTGGCTTATGGGACTGTGATAATTCTGGGAGTCTCCGGGAATCTGGCTTTGATTGTCATTATTTTAAAACAAAAGGAGATGCGCAATGTTACCAACATACTCATTGTCAATCTATCCTTTTCGGACCTCCTGGTGACCATCATGTGTCTTCCTTTTACCTTTGTGTATACTTTAATGGACCACTGGATTTTTGGGGAGGCCATGTGCAAACTGAACCCTTTCGTGCAATGTGCCTCCATCACCGTCTCAGTCTTTTCTTTAGTCCTCATTGCTATTGAGCGCCATCAGCTGATCATCAATCCCCGTGGCTGGAGGCCAAACAACAGACATGCCTACATGGGGATTGCTGCCATATGGATTTTAGCTACAGCTTCCTCTTTGCCTTTCCTGATCTACCACGTCTTAACAGATGAGCCCTTCAGAAACGTAACATTTGATGAATATAAAGACAAATACGTGTGCTTGGACCTGTTCCCCTTGGACACTGCCAGGCTTTCTTATACTACAACGCTTTTGGTCATTCAGTACTTTGGACCGCTCTGTTTTATATTTATTTGCTACTTGAAGGTAAGATGGAATCCTCTTGCAACACAATCCTCTTGTCTGATGTTTGTTTATCCTTGCAAAGATGACAGTGCTAGGTTAATTTATTCCATGTGTTTCTCTTTGTTGAATTTCCTGCAGATATACATACGGTTGAAAAAAAGGAACAACATGATGGACAAGATGAGAGACAGTAAGTACAGATCCTCTGAAACCAAAAGGATCAACATCATGCTGATCTCAATAGTGGTCGCATTTGCAGTTTGCTGGCTGCCTCTCACCATCTTCAATATCGTGTTTGATTGGAATCATGAAATTCTGCCTGTTGCTACTTGCAGCCACAACCTGTTGTTCCTGATTTGCCACCTCACTGCCATGATTTCTACCTGTGTGAATCCCATCTTCTACGGGTTTCTCAATAAGAATTTCCAAAGGGACCTGCAGTTTTTATTTCATTTTTGTCATTTCCACTCCCGTGAGGAGGATTATGAGACTATAGCCATGTCCACCATGCACACAGATGTTTCAAAAACCTCTTTAAAGCAGGCAAGCCCAGTTACATTTAAAAAAATAAATAGTGACGATGATGAAAAAATATAAAGGAGTAATAAAAATTTCACACCAAACTGCTTGAAGTGTGATTGCAGGTGAAATGTGTCCAAGGACAAGTGAAATTACATAACAAGTACAAAATGCGTAATGTCTTTCTTCTTTTTCCAAGGAACTTTGATTGTTGTCACTTTGAAATTATATGCTGTGCATTTTTGCCCCTTTTACTGCTTTAATGTTCACAGAAGTTGTATCTGAATTTTATTATAAGACATAGTTAGACCTTCTACTACCTATGGTTTTCATCAGCTGTCTTTTGTTCTGTTTTCTTTGTACAGTTATGTGCTTTAGCAGAAAGGCTTATTTATTGATTATATTTTTTCAAAGAAGTAGCTTTCTAAGACCATTAGAAACAATATGAACCACAGGGACACTGTCACTACAGAGGACACCCACCAAAAAATAAAATTAGGAAATTCTGATTTGAAGAGAAGTTCCTTTCTTTTTTAATTCAGCTATTGATTGATATTAAAATTCTCTAAAATCAGTGTACGCATGCAAAAAAAGGATTCCGTGAGACCTGTAGAATATGTTTAAATGGGGAAATACAGTTTTCTAGTTCACAGTGGCAATTCAGGCTATAATCACTTAGTTTCAAAGGAAGGATTAAGAAAGAAATTCTGTTCTCATTTATGAGAACAAAACCCTATAGTAATTCCACAGTGCACAATGGGATAACTCTGATGTTTCACCACAGCAAAGGAAAGCATAAAGGGGCCTTCAGTCCCAGCTGATTAGAGCTGGTTTTAATAACACAGGCTTTTTAATTTAAAAACTCCAAGCCCCATTTTCATCTGCCATCACTGACGGGAGTTAGTGTTGCTGGGATGAAATACACCAGCTGTCCCTAGCCTATGAACCATGTAAATTCTCCTTGAGACCTATGTCCAGAATCTAAAGGGAGATGGGATTGTACAGTGCCTAGACAAGGTGCAATACCACCCTTGCAGGTGACAGTGAAAATCAGGTCTGGTATTAAAAAAGGTAAGGTTTATCTATCTGAGTCTTATCATAGTAATTAGTGTTGACCTACATAAATTATGCATAGCTTCAAAATATGTTGTGTTCAGATGCAATGGCATAAACCTGGATAATTTTGGTTTTAAGCTGTGCCAGGGGAGATTTAGGTTGAATATTAGGAAGAAATTTTTTACAGACGGAGTAATCAGGCATTGGAATGAGCTGCCTAGGGAAGTGGTGGATTCACTGTCCCTGGAGGTTTTTAAGATGAGACTGGATGTGGCACTTAATGCCATGGTCTAGTAACCACAGCAGTGTTGGATCAAAGATTGGACTTGGAGGTCTTTTCCAACCCAGTTGATTCTATGATTCCAATTTCCAAGACAATGAATGGTTAAATCAAGATCTGCAAAACCTAAAAGAAGGATATGGATAAAGTTTGGGTATAACTGGTGTGCTTAGCTTCCAAACTCACAGTTTCCACATTTATTTGAAGTGTGGAATTATTTGCCAAATTTATACAATAGAGCTCTCTGTGTTACTGCTTAAAATATATATCCTCTAATTACACAAAATATTCATGACTAGATCCCCAGTTGAGGGAAACCCACAGAACTTGACTGCTGTAAATGAAATGACACAATATTAGCCAGCTGAGGTTCTGTGTCATACAGTGTACTTTGCTGTATAATCAAGGTCTTTTTGAATAATCAGCTTTTTAAAATACAATATAGACCCTACTTTCTTTCAGGAAAGTAATTTTAAATCATTATGGCAGACAAGAGGGTCTTTAAAATGGATATAAATGTAAATGCAGCATGAATGGAAATCTGACCTGATACATTTCTGAGCAAAAAGATCTCAGGATATTATGGTGAACTTACTGTGTTCTAAATTTGACATAGATAAATGCCTAAGAAATTAAAATTATTTGGGTTGCCAGAATTTAAAAGTAAAAAACTGTGCCTTGTGTTGTCTTATAAATAGTGTAGAATATTAAAGTAGCAATGTGTTCTTGTGCATTATAATTCCATGTATTTCTCTACTGGAAGATAATTTAATTTAAAAGGTTTCTGTGCTTGAGAAAAGAGATGGAATGTAGGAAATTAATTATAAGACAGAAGTTTCTTTCAGAGCTTTGGCCTTTTGTATTTTATGAGATTTCCTTTTTTTCTGTGGTTCTCTGTGTTATGTGTTGCTAACAATTTGACAAGGGTCTCCCAAAATTATTTCCCTCTCACTTTGCAACAATTTTCACCTTCTAAAGGATCTGTAGTTTCACATGAGATACAATGTAGAAAAACAGCCTTTTTTATATATATTAAGAATGTCACAGTGGATTTTTCCCATTACAAAAACAGTCACTATGAATTTGTGAATTTTACATGCTTAAATGCTTTTTTCCTTTTCTTTTTTTTTTTTTTTCTTTTTTTATTTTAAAAACCTCTTTCTTTCAGTGGAGTGGAAGAAGAAAATTCAATTATTTGAGAAACTTTCCATTTAGTTTTCTGGAAATTTTTATCAGGCTGCATTAGATGTTTATATAGCTGGAGATGTTTATAGCTGCTGGAGGAACTTTAGAGGAGCCTGTCGGTGCTCAGGGACATAAAACAGGTGTGTGCTAAGATTTGGAGGTCTTCAGTGGGATAGCAACATATTTATTCCTATGTCAGCATTTCTCCTGCTTGAGGTAGAGTCTCAAAGCCTGCAGCCCATGTGATACTGTCTCATACTGTCTCCTGAGAATGTGTCAGGTGTTTTTTGCCTCCCAACACCTGATAAACAAGGTGATCTGTAAGTAAGAGGATTCCTTCTGCTCAGCTTCGTTGAGCTCAGGAGCCAGTTTTCCTCTACACTGCTGTCCTAGAATCAGGCTTCTTATATGTTTCCTCACTTCCCCCCAAGAAACCTTTCTGAGCCTCTACTGAGGACACAGGGTAGTGCATTGTCATACAAATAGCACAGCGTGCTCTGCCTCAAACAACAGTGGAAAGGAACACAGTGTAAAGAGTGTCCAGCAGGAAAATGCATTTGGAGAATTTCAGAGGGCAAAATCATTGCTTTTCTGAAGAATTTGTTCTGAGGACAGAGATAAAAGTAGTCTCTCTGAGGTGCTGACCTGACATCCACAGGGCATAGATCATATCTACTGAGAGCAGTATTTTTGTCCTTGTATTTGTGACTTGATGCTGGAGTTCTCAAAAGCCGCTGGAGACTTTCCCCTCCCAACAACCAGCTACAATATGGATCCTATTTTTTATTTTCAGTGCTCCAGCATGGCTTCTCATCCTCTATATGCTAAATTTCTTTATAGGGTAAGCTGCTGAGTCTCGTGTTTCACTATAATTTTTAAGTCATTCTGGTTTGATATTTATTTCTCCTTTGTGCTGTTTTGTCGAACATCCCACACATCAGCACATGGTGATTCCTGTCTCAAAATCCTGAAGATTCTATTTATTCTTTCAGACTGGTAGAGAAGTTTTACTGACAGAAAATCAGAACAGTGAGTGATCTATAATGTATCTTATTATTTATGTGTCATACATTTCATGTCAAATCTACAGCCTTAAATGACAAATGAAACTATTTAATAAACATTATTATCTGCTTCATTTATCAGTTATTTTAGCATCTTAAACTTCAGTTTTATTGGCCAGAGACATTTAAACCTTCTGAATAATCTAAATAAACCAGCACATTTGTATGTCATGTTAATAAATACCTCTGTATTCCCATGTTGGTTTTTTTTCAACATGTCTCTTGACTGTGTCATTCTCACTACATATGGTAATTCACAACTTTTACATCAACATTAAAAAAAAGGATAATAATAAAGGAAGCAATTAATTGGCAATAATACTTGCCTTTGGTAGGCCAGGAAAGAACTGGATATTAAAAAAATAAAAAAATCTATATGTATATAATCAACCCTGTTTTTATCACCACATAAAGAAATCAGATTTAAACCAGGGAAAGGAATCAACATGACAGGACCCCCCAGATCGCTTGAGCTGATGCTGACTGTATCTCATCACTGATTAAGGTGAGAAGGGTAAGGGTTCATATTTTCTGACTCTGAGGTCTTGCACTACAGTACTTGCTATTATGAATGAATACTAAAGGCAAAATGATACTGATTCATATTCAGACTGTAAATCATCATATGTTTAAATACAGGCCTGTATATCAAGTTCTCATTCTAACCTCTGGAAAGTGTTTTCAGATCAATGAAATGGAAAATTTGCTTGAAGTTAACCATTTGCTTAGGCACTCTACTGAATAAAGGTGCACTTCTGGCTGGCAGCTCACACTCTTTCCTTTTTATTTTTTTTTTAATTTTTTAATTTAATTTTTATTTTTAGTAATAAAAATTTTATTATAGAAATAAATTAATGGCATATAGTTGTTTGGCTTTTTTTCTGGATTGTTCTATGGATTTTTTTTCTGGGGTACAGTGCCTGATAATGGTTCATTTTAAAGCTTTACTTCCTATTTCTTTCTATCAAAGAATTTACTGAACCAGTTCATAGAGAATGAAGACAATAAGGAAACTTTTTTCTTTTATTCTTATTTTTAAAGTATACATAACAGTAGGAAACAAGAGCTTAAATAACATCTCTTGTCTGCGACAGATTACATTCATTCAGCTGAGTGGAAAAGGGGGAGAAATAACAGTTATAACTAAATGATAAATTTTGTTGACAGTCGTTTCTCAATTGAAAGATCTGCCATGCTGTCTTCATTCCTGTGTTCTTTAATATACGGTATCTGCATCCCTGAATCATTACTAATTAGTCGAGTCACTACTAAAGTTGATATGAAAGAAAATTTTTTTCTTCTATCCAGGTTTTTCAGAATTTCAAATGTTTGTGTATTACATATAAGAGGAAAAAATGTGACCAGCTTTAGTCTCTAACACTTTAATTAGTCTATGATCAGAAATTACTTCTATTCAGTATTTCTGCCCATGCAAAAGAGTGCTAATGGCCTAATTGAAGTTGATATTTCAAACATTGGGGAGTACATTCACAAAGACTGACAGAAAAGGATGGGGGCTTTTCTGGCCTCCTTCAGAGGCAATCCGAGGGCATTCACACCTACACTACTCTGGATGCTATGCATCTACCAAAATGGCTTTCTATCCATTATCAATATAGGCTGCTAAGGGACAGCCAGCTTCCAGGGCCAGCACTAGGCCTGGTGACTACTGCTTCCCTTCCTCCACCTTCCATGATGCTTCTGCATGCACTTCGTATTTCATCCTCTTGATAGCTGCTTTCTGAGGAAGCTGTAGGAATTTGTACTCTGATTTTGTGAGTGCCTGAGTATATGGTAAAAATCAACTCTATTCAGGGCAGTGCTTTAAATAGTTTCTTTCATCAAAATTATCTTCCGGCAAGTTTCTGGTAGGCAAGTTTCTCAAAATTTAGAAGTACATAATCTACAGAGCTTATGTGGGATATATCTTCATACAGAACATCCAAATCATTGCAGCAAAACTGACAGCACACACAGTATTATGTTTTCCAAATAGATGAGTTGATGATCTGGTTATTTGACACAGGTCAGGCTTAGTTGCAAGAAATTTGCACCTGAAGCAAATGTGTTTGAGACTGATGCACAGGAGAGGCTCTGCATGGTGAACTAATGTGCCACAAATTATGCAACATTGCAGATATACAGGGAAATAGATAGTTTGGAAAAGAACCAAAAAGCAGAAGATCTAGATGAAGCCTTGATGCCTTCTGCCAAATATAAATAAAAAGACTTGAAGGGAAACTCAGACATTATTTAATTTGAAGGCCAACAGACTGACAGGTAAATGCTTTGTTGAGGAAAGTGTTGGTCCAAAAAGTATTTATGTTAAACAGGTTCTCTGCTCCAGTTTACTGAAAAAGGATATAAAATTATAAATTACTCTGAAAATATAGGTTTTTAAGATTCTTCACCTTGGATTAATCTAGATCTCTTTTTGAGACAAAGGAAACAAAATTTTTTGGCACAATTGAAAAATAACAGTTTTCATTGTGTCCCCCCACTGCACAGGAATCCATTTGTTTCCACTCCTGCACAACATGGAGGAGGTTTGTTTATGGCAGGAGTAACCTGATCAACAAAGCCCTTCTTGTCTCTCTTGGCTCATGTCCACACTGATATTGTGCTGCTGTTTTTCACTTTGCAATCTCTCCCCCCTGCCTCCACCAAGCTATGACATTTTTATTATTCTATTTATATTGTTTCTTTATAAAAGCTGTCTGTGAAAAGATGTCCTTGAAAGATCCTATTCAATATGTGCTTGAACATATGGGTGAGAGGCCACACAGGACTTACAGAAATGTGACTGACAATGTGATGATGTTTCAGCGGATAGAGAAGTTGAAAACCTATTTGTTACATACTGTCATTCAGCCCTTTTCAATTAAAGTTTTTGTTATCATTTTAATTCATGTAATCTAAATATCAGCTAAACTTATGTATCTAGTGTTTCCTCTTGGTGATCAGCCTCCAGAGACATTCAGCAAGAGGAGACACTGGGTAACCAACTTGTATCCTTACTTAGCCTTGTATGCTCTCACAAAGCTCCTCATTTATTTATACTATACTTGAAGATATATATGCAAAAGTGTTCACTTCTCTCTCTTCAAGACTAGTGGAAGTTGTGTAATTAAGAGATATAATAGATAGGACTGGTTTATCTTTCCTGACTTTTATTTCCATTATTATTATGACTGTAAAGTTCAAGGGACTTCAGTTAAGCCTTGACTTCTTATCAGTTTGGGCACATGGGTGTCAGTTGCCATGCATATGGCTAAACAGGTGCTAAAGTAAGAGCCTTGAAGCCTGACCTTAAACACTGCAAGGTTAATAAAAAGACTCCCATTGACTTCAATGAGCTTTGGGTAGGTACTTGTTTCAAGTGACACTGAAGTGACATATATGTCCGAACATTGGCTTCCTAGAGAGGGCAGCAGTAAGAAGTGACGTTATCTGCATGTGTGAACTCAGCAGAGACACAACTCCTTAGTCATCCATGTCAGTCCAAGGGGCATATCAAAAAGTCATCTTCAGCTGGTACTTATACTATGGTTATCCTCTTAAGTTCTTCTGTGAGTTTTACTCTGATTTTTTTTCTTGACACAGTTACAAGTTAAATGTATCTGCCGAGCTATCTGGCTTATCAATTTAAGGCAATTTGCTTCACAGAAAATTGAAGATGGCACTAGCAATTCTTCACTACTAAAAGTGGGGGCTTTTATAATTATTATTATTATTATTATTACAACTACTTCTGCTTTTTTTCACTTTGGGAAACAAACAAACAAACAAACAAATCACTAACAGCCAGACAACATAGTTTATTTTACATCTGAAATTCCTCAGTCAGTAAGGAATCTCAGCCTGCAGCACAATCTGTGGATTTACCTAATAGAGATGCTCCTACAGCAGAAACACCAGCAATCATGAATAAAACTACTGTAAGTAGTTGCTGAAATACAGTTATCTTCAGAATTAGATAAGGGCATCTTTAAGTCAATATAGAGAAACTTGAATTAAAAGATTAATGATTTTGTGTTGGAAATGGTACATTCAAATAACCCAGTGACCTCAAGAAATTATAAAACCTGAGCCTGGTCTCATTCATAATAGTCAAATGCTGCAGTAACATCTCTTGACATTGTTCAGAATGTTATGTGGTGGATGAGGCAGGTAAATGAGATCAGTTTGTGAAGCTGTCAGATTGGTTTTTTATACCCATAGATTTTATGTTACCCAGGGTTGGGGTAACATAAGGAAATGAAGAACCTTGGTTTTTTAATTCCTTGATAATTTTCTCTCAGACCAAACAGATTTGTTAAAGCTTTCTAAGGGTGAAATGGGATTGGATGAGCTGAGTACCCGTTGTAAAAGTGAGTTTGTTCTTTTAAGCAGGACATACATGTTGTAGGTGTTAGCATCTGAAGTCTTATATTCTACACAGTAGAATATAGATATGTATGTTTACTATCACATATAGAAACATTTTAAAATGCTGACTTCAAGTAAATTCTATACATTTATAAAAAAACCCTAAATCTTTAGCAGTTCTTATGTTCAGAGAATGTTCATAAAAGAAACAAATCAAGCTGTGCCAGTTGTCCATTTGTGCTGACTGTGCAGTTTGTTTTGGCCAAAGGGTTTTATTGACCATGGGACCCTGTCTGAGTATCAGCATCTGCTTGGGAGACATGGGAACCACCTCACTGAGTGAAGCAAAGGTATCTTTGCCAGCAGGATGTCTGACTTGCTAAGAAGTTCTTTAAACTGGGAGTGATGTGAAATGAAGAGTATTACCAGGAGTCTCTGAGGGAATGAGGGACAAGACTGTCAAGCAAAGGGCCTGGAGTGGTGCAAGTGAATGCAAAGACAGTGAAGAGCTTAAATGAGGTCAGTTAAGCAAGGAAGTGCCTACAAGATACAAATTTAGGAAAAATCCTCAGACCCTTTCTGGGAAAATGGCATGCTGAAGTGTCCCTCAGAAGTGCCTCTCTCAAGTGCCTGTTCACGAAGTGTGTGCAGCATGGGGAATAAATGTAAGTAGAGAACTGTGTGGGATTGCAGGGCTATGGTGTTGTTGGGAACATGGCAGTGTAGTGGGACGTCTCCCATGACTGGAATGTTGCAATAGTGGAATACAGGCCCTTTAGGAAGGACAGGGTATGAAGAGGTGGAGTTGCCCTTTATGTGAGAGAGCAGTTAGAGTGCATGGAGCTATTCCGAGGATAGATGAGAATTTAAGCTGAGAATTTAAGAGATAGGATTAAACAACACACCAGTATGGATGACACTGTAGTGGGTGTCTGCTACAGGCTGCCTGATGAGGGAAGCAGTAGATGAGGCTAGAAGAAGTCTCATGTTCAGGCCCTGATCCTTGTGGTAGACTTTAATCATGCCCAATACCTGCAGGTCATAAGTAATCCAGGATGTTGCTGGAGAGCATCGATGGAAATTTCCTGACAACGATCATAGAGAAATCAACACTTGCAAACAAGGAAGAGCTTGTCAGGGATGTGAAGACTGAAGGCAGTATTGGTGCAGTTCTGTACTCTTACAAGTTTGGGGAAGACTGGGAGCTATGCAGGTAAAAGCATTTTTATCAGTACTTGAGTAAGGAAAAGAATAGAAACCCCACTCCTGCCTGCTATGTTTGACAGCAGCAATCTGACCAGTATTATCTGGATGATGAGTATGCTTTTATGTCTGAGCTAGGCAGTGCAACATGGGAAAGAGGACCATGGGGCTCAAGAGTTATTGAGCACAACCAATAGTTGTGGTAATGCAGTATTAGCCTGCATGGAAATATGAGGGGAGAGCTGAGGCAAATTTGGTGGGCTGAGAACAGGCCATAGAGTTATGGAATCCAAATGTTAGTAATTTTGTCATTTAGAATAACCTGTGGTAACAAATGTATGACAATTATCAGTTTCTAGGCCAAGCTATAGTACACGTGTTTAAGGGGGTTTGTGTTTGGGGCATTTTTATTTTTGAAATAAAGCTCACAATTATTTGGATAGTTAAATCCAGTTTAGCAAGGTGCTGACAGTACAGATCATTCTTTTTCAACTCTAAAGCCATCTGAATTTGAAAGAGTTCTGATTGCACTAATATAGTTTGCTTACTAGGTACAGTACATTTTTTTAAAAAAGCTATGGAAGGAGCAGTGTTTCTGATGGGTATATAAGCTGTGCTACTCACTTTATAATAAAGACACACAACTGTTATTCATACATTTTAACTGAAGATTGGTTTCAGCCCTGTCACACTGGGTATTGCCATTTGACTTCTTGCATGGTTTTGTTAGAAATGCAGTGATTCATACAATGACTATGATTGCAGCTAGGCAAAAAAGAAAAAGGAGTCAGACAAAACCTTTCTGCTCAGAAGGCACAGTTTATGTGATTTCTTAAACCGTCTCCCTGCTCCATCAAACACCTCTCCAACTCGTATTTTTAGTTCAGGGTAGCAGAGAGAGAGTTTTGATGCTTTAAAAATCTCACCTAAGGCTTCTACCCATACTGACCCAATCTGAAAGCTATGCTGGTTTCTCAGTGCTCTCTGGAAGAAGATCCCTGCTTGGAGGAGTATTTATTTAGACCTCAAACTATTCAGCTACTGTGTCCTATAGTTAGCCAGAATTCAAGATCAGATAAGACTGTTTTAATTAGACAGAAGCTGAGATAAACATGTTCTTTATGAAATGTTATTTAGAAACATCTTTTATACAATACTGTTTCCAGAACAGCAAGAAACTTATTGTAAGACAAGTTCCAAGCGAGCCTGGGTTTAAGAAGCTCTATTTCTGCTTCCTTTCAGTGCTGTGTTTGCAGCTCTCTACACTGACCCTCTGCATTCACATTGCAAGCAGCCAATGTTGTAATTGCAGAAATGATGACCACACAGACCTCTTGTAGGTACGGTACAGGATTAAGCAATCCCTCTCCCCACCTTTCTCTTTTCCCACACCTACGCATCACAATCAGTTGTCACACTGAAGGGTAAATTAAGCTGCGGTATAGATCCAACTTAAGAACAGAAAACCTAGAAATAAAGAAGGGATTTGAATGAGGGAATTGGTCCCATTTATCAGCTGGTTACACAAACACTTGTTCTGGTGTGAAGGGCATAGGTTAGTGAGAGGAATGAGTGAATAACTAAGGATGGGAATGCACAGTGCTTAGGCTGGCATGGCCACAAGAAATGCTAGTCAAACTTTGTAATAAGGAAAATACCTTTTAATCCATCAGTGTTAGCTCTGACCTGCTATGAGGACATTTACTTTGGGTGGCCACCATTGTGTGAACAGCTGGTTTTGCCAAACAAATAAACTTGGTTGGATTTTTAAAGCCTGAGTGCTTGTTGCTTTAAAGGAGTCTGCTCTTGTCTCAGGATTTGAGCTTTGTGTTCTGACAACCATTATTGCCTTTCCATATAGAAACAACTTTCATGCACACTGTGCTTTAGAAGCTGTTAACTCTGTTCCAAGAAACATAATAATCATGAAAGTATGCATTTTATAGTAAATTCTATAACCATGTGAGTGATACATGGTGTGGGTCTTTGGATTCCAGAAGCTGGTGTTTCTGTGTTTGTTTTTTTCTTTTCTTCACCTGGAAACTGAGTGGAAGAGGAAGATTGTTGCAGGGCTACATCCAAGAAGTAAAGAAGTTATACCTCTGAGTCTACAGAACTGTATTCAGGAAACTCCTGTGATCAAGATTCCATTGATTCTACAATTCTATGAATAGGCTAAGCAATATCACTAGCCCTGATATTTAAGCTTTCTCCAAACATATTGTAGTACACCAGTAGGTTCAAACTGTCTTGCTTAAATCAATGTGGGACATTTTTACCAGCAATTGCTGTGTTGAATCACTGTGAATTTTGGTTTTCAACTCAAAGTTTTAACTTAGAGGGAACGGCTTTGATTTAGCTAAGCTTGACTTATGAAATCATATATGGCTCAGTCTGTATCCCCCCTTGTAAAGTGCTCAAAGACTGTGATATGCTCAGATATGTGATCCTAATAAAATGATAGAGCCTATTTACTGTGTTCATTTAGGCTTGTTGGTGTCAAATATTTGTCTGAACAGCCGCATTTTCTTGAAAAGAGATATAACAACTAAAATCTGAAATATGAAATTGTTTTATCTGAGGTTCAGTGCAGTCCCTAAGATGTGCACCTTATATTAATATCCAGTCTGGAGACCTTTTAGCTGAGTATTAGCAATTAATTGCAAGGACATATATCTGGATTATACATTGGAGATTTTGCATGCAAATGTATAATAAATGCATATAAATCCATTGTTAGATGTTTTGGAAAGATTGCTTTGAATAAAGTGACTGAAATAAAAATCTAGAAGTTTTCACAACACTGTTACTTCTAGACTTTTCCAAAGTTCCACAGTAAAATGACTTTGACACTGTATATTCTGTCACATACTTGAAAACACATTTTTAAAAAGAAATTACTATAGGCTCGTATTTTGAATAACAGCCTTTTTCTCAGTAAGTTCATGTTCATAAGATGGATACAAAATCTGAGAGATAAAAATAGAGTTCTCTCTGGATTCAGTAGGAATTTTGCCAGAGGAAAGGGTAGTAGGAAGTGCTGGTTTTGCTTCATGTTCCAAGCTTATTGATATTTTGCTAACACTGGTGTATTCCTGGGTGCTGTTGTTTTATTCTGCAGAGTTTGTTCCATAATTTCCTTCTGTTCTGTTCTTTTTTAAAAGTACTTTCCTTTTTTCTGCTGAACCCTTCAAATGATCTCACCAGCTCTCTCACTTAAAACATTCAAAGAATTAGATGGTCAGTCTTCTAAAATCTAAGTTTTTATGACGGTCTTGGAAGGTAATTATGTCTGACTTATACAATGTGTGAAATTAACAGAACACACTATAAGATAACTTTATAATAAAAGGAATTGATCAGTATTTTCCAGAAAGAATCTAGGTTTGAGTTCTTTGCTCTTATTTTGTTGTTTGTTTGTTTTTAACAGTGTTTACAGTATCTAGAGGGTCCATTTCATTTTTATACTGTGGTCAGCACGTATACTGGAAAACCTAACCCAGAAACACTAAAGGCTTGGTTTTCAGAGACACGATAAAGGCTTAATACAGCTAACTTTCATTGAAATTCTTTTTGCTACATAAACATAATAGTGATGAAGATAAAGAAGCAGAAAGTAACCTGTCCAATGTCGTTAGAAAAGATCTTGGAATGTTTATCTCTGTTAGTCCCTAGCCTTTAATTATTCTGGCTATTGTACTTGTGATAGTTTAATGGAGGCCAATGACCAAAATACCATACATGGGATAATCACCTAGCTGCATTTCTCATAGATCATCTTTATTTTTGTTTCATAACTCACACTGTCATAAGCACAGAGAACTATAGTAAAATAAGCCTTCATGAACTGCAACCACACCTTCAGTTTTTTAATCACTAAAAACCATATATGTCTGTAGAAGCATAAAACCTTTTGACAACTCCAAATGGTATAGCTTGTCTAGAAAGAGGTGCAACAGTATATTCCTAAAGCTCTGTACCTTGCCTGTCTTTGGGACAGTCCCATTTATGCTGCAGATATGTTTCAGATAATTTAGGTAAGAGCTGCTGTATTTGTCTTGTGTCACGTGGGGGATTACGATAACCAGCCTCCAAACTCTGTCAACACACAAAACAGTTGACCCATTTCTATATCTATGCTGTCTTCAAATATGAATAAAACCGCCTTTACATTTCAAATTTGGTAACTTAATGTACCAAGATCCACACAGTTGTCATCACTAGCCATTCATATAATCTTCTTAGGTTTTTACTTGCTGATCCCCTCTGGCAACTTCTTAGAATTGCTATGAATTTATAACTTGTGATGCTGGGAATTTTAAATGTAATATTGGGTTGCATTTGATTGACTCAGTATTAAATATCAAGGCCCTGCTGTGAGGCATACAAAAATCCATAGGGAAAAAATCTTCATTGCAATATGGGATGTGAATTCCTTGTGGCATTGAACATTCATGCTGTTGCTGCATAAGAGCTGGGCCCCATGATGCATCCCATGTTCTTTTGTGTCCTGATTATTTCAGAAATCCTGCTTGGAATTTTGTTACTCCCTTTCAATGACAATTAGTGCATAGCCTTGACGATTCCTGTATTCATGGTTTTGGAAGAAAGCTTGAGTGCCCTCCTCTAGACAAAACTGGGAAGGATGAATCCTGTGAAAAGGATGAGAGATAATTCCCTCTGCTGTAAAGGGAATTAAGAGGCTATTTATTCTCATAGGCTTTTTTTATCTTGCAGAACTTTTTAAACACACATATCTTTAATGAGTGGCCTGGTCATCATATAATTGTATGTGTTCCCAGGGCACTGCTAGTAGCCATGCTGGCAGGATGATATTCTTGGATTAATCATCTCAGCTTGGTTGGAAAGAGTTCAAATTCATCTGAGATAAGATGCTGTGATATTTATACATATTTCCTATGTTGTTGCATTAACACCTCACACATTAGATATCTTAAACTTATCATGACTAATTCCAAGCAACCAATAATACAAGGCATAAACTATATTCTTAATATTGTGAAGACCAAGGAAACCATTGTAGCAAGTACTGGATAATAAAAATGGTTTTCTTACAGCCTAATAACTAAATTTAATTATAACTTTGAAATCTCACCAGCCTGTCTGCTAGTTCTTGAAGTAGTACAGGTGGTGCAATTTAAGAAGTAAGCCTTCAAAACATGGTGGAGGCAACAGGCAACAACTGGAAGCATCAAGATTAGAGCTCTCTCCATACACAGGTGATTTACACTATCTTGATCTGATGGACAGAATAGTTCTCCAAGGGACAGGCTATCCTTTAAAGCAATAGCTCTTTTAGAAAATCTTTTTTTTTTTCCTGAACCTGAAAGAAATAATTTTACATCCAAGTAAGATGAGTAAGGTCAATTTGCCAGGGTAAACACTCAACCCATAAAGTCCCATTATGACAATTCTGCCCAAAATAAGGCAAAAAAAAAATCGAATGTCAGTGAAGGTGGCTATCAGTAAGAAGCTGTTAGAGCACTGAGGATAAAAAGACAAGTAGCTTTGGTAACAGTTACTGATTTACTGCCAATATCCTTTTTGACTATAGGTTAGGGAGAGAAACAACATTTGCAGCTATCTCCCTACAGGCACAGATTGCTAGCAGAAGAAACAGAGCTTGAAAATCCTTTGGTAAAAATCCAGTGTGGTGAATGGATGAGGAAAATGTGTAATAGCTTCATTGGACACTGAAATTAGAGTTGAAATAATAGCATATCTGTTTTTGTTCAGGTTTAGAAAGGAAAAAAAAACATCAAGGAAATGTATGACTTGGACTGTATGTTAATACCAGCTTTGGACTTCATTAAAAATAAAATTATACTGCTCAGATTTATTTAACCTTTGAAAACATTTTTTTCTCTTAATCTTGAAAAAAATTTGATGAAAAATGCTGTCATGAAACAAGAAAATCACATTGTGCTATTAAATGTTCAGAAATAGTTGTTTCAGGATTTTTTCCCAAATAAAGCATAACATTTTGATAAGGCTAAGTAATCAAGCACTAACAGGCATTTAAAATCCTCTCCTCCCCTCAGGAAAAAAAAAAAAAGCATAGTAGTTCACACAATTCACAGAATATTCTGAGTTGGAAGGGACCCACAAGGATCATCAAGCGCAACTCTCAAGTGAATGGCCTATACAGTTGAAAGAAGCCAAGTTTTGTGAATAACATTGTTCCAAATAAATGAAGTTTTTCGTTGTTATGTTACTTTATCAAAATACATTGATAGCACTTCTTGAGTTCTTACCCACTCTCATAACATCCTAGACATTACATGTGACTTCACAATAAATGACAACCCTTTTAGTGTGAATGAAAACCATTTGTCTCCTTTCATAATTTTTTTTCATGAATTATCCTGCATTCCATGTTTGTAGATGCTAAAATACTATTGTATTACTATAGAAATTGGTGGTGAAATATAAAACTTTAAATAACTGGCCATCCTATTAGAATCCAATCTCATCTGAATAATGACATGAGACGATAAAGTCCCTTTACAATAATACTATGCAAAATGGGACAGAGAATTGAAAAAGGATGCAGAATGTCTGTAACTTAACTTTCCAACTTCTCTTCCTAAAGGAAGTGGTAACTCAAGTGAAAAACAGCATAACCAGAGAAAGTGCAAAGAAGAAATAGTAGAGAAGTTTGGGAGTATGGCTTTTAGACCACATTCATCTTAGAAACTGTAATAATGTTTGTTGCTTTAAAAAGTAAGTTTGAAAATCACCTAAGATTAATATAACTTCAGGAAATAATGAAAAAAAAGTCATATATCTTCACTTTTTTAAAGTAAGATGAAAACTAGAGAAATTCATTAATACCTTGCAAATTACAGTTCTCTCTTCAGTAAGTTAACTCATATTTTTGTACATTTTTCCACAGTAACTGACTACACACACAGGTCACACTCTTTTTGTTGGTTTTTTTTCACTAAAACACCAAAGTACAGTATCTACTGTACTTACTCCGTGGTACTAGGTACTAGAATGTTTATTTGATGAAGAATAAGCAGAGAGATGTGTGGGTGATAGCTTTGTTATTGTAGAAAGACTAAGCTTAGAAATATGCTGTAGTCACTATGACAATGAAATTAAACTCGCCATGTGCCATTGTAAGGTTTTTAAAATTCAGTTTTTCTTTTTTCCTCTCTTTTTTTTTTTTTTTGTAGCTTCAGCTGTATAAGCTTTAAGTTACTTTTGTTCATCAGATAATTAACAAGATTTTACTTTGCAGAAATGAAATGCACTTTTCTACTCATGGCTTAGTTTTTCAGGCACATGACTGGATGGCATAACTCATCTACTGAAAGCTGGGACAGTCTGTTGGGGGGCTGTTCATGGGATAGGCTTTCAGCTATTTAATAAAGTATTGAGTTGGATGAAGGCAACTGACAGGATGTAGAAATAAATGTGTGTTCTGTCTTTAAAGCTGAGCCATAGTAATAATGAATTGTTAGTGGGACAACAGTGTCAGTCCTTAGTCAGTAAAACAGAAGTGACTATATGATTTTATGTATCCTCATACATACCTGTGTTGAAGTCTGTGTATACACACACACAGAGACACACACACACAATGTTATAGAAGAGTTTTTCTTGTTTTCTTCTAGTCTATGCATGGGTGCATAACCCTGGAATGTAATGCTGTGCACAGATACTCTCTAATTGATTACATTGCCATTATAAAAACTTCTTAGGAACAATTTTGAACCATAATAATTGTTTTATTAATATCACTTACTATTTTAGGA